TAAAACGACTGTCTGTTTTATGTTTTGACAATGAATCAACGGAATTTCATAAAAATAATTTCGCATTTTGTCTTTTTTATTCTATAATAGCTGGAAATGATTATATTCACACGGTTCACGTCTATATCTAAGTTAACATCAGTTTAATATAACTTAAATGGGTTGTTAGCTCCCCTTTTTATTACCAGATTTCATACTTGTATATTTATATTTCATTTAATGTTTTATCATTACAAAGTATTTAAATTATATAGATTTTGGTCTTTATGATTTATTCAAAAAGACATATATAAATATACCTTTTTTTGAATAGTTAAAAAATTCTAATTACCAAAATTTAGAAACCTTTGAAATTTACATATATAGTATTTAGCAATCTGTGATTGTGTACAGCTGATTAAAGATTGCCTACACTTAAACCGTACTAAGTCAAATATATATATTTAACGTAGTTGCCATAATACTACTTTCATGATGCTCCAGTTAATGATGCTTTCCGAAATAAATAAAATAATTGCTTAAGGTCTTTTTTTGAACAATTATACATGAATTTTGTTGAAACTGTTTTAACGTTATTACATTTGGCATCCATCGTAAACCAGTCAATAAACTATTATTATCTGTGGTACGCATTCTGAATCTCCATTTTTTCATTATAATTTTTTTCTCGACAAAAATATTGTTTTAATCTTACAGGTATTACATACTTCATTTTCATTTAAAGGCGATAATTTTGTTTCTGGTTTTACGGTCAAAGAAGTAGTTTTACGGTCGTAGCTTATATATCACACTTTATTCAAACTAGAGTCCGTTCAATGTTGACGTGATGTATATTTGGACCATTTATAGTCAAACAAAGAAAAATTATTGATAGTACGATATCATTATAAGACTAAAACCATAATTAAGCATTTGCTATGATGAAAAGGAAAAGTTCTTGTACGTTAAAATGGACAAGTGTAATGGGCATATGGATGTTTATTTCATCAAGGAATTGTACTAATATATACAATTCCTTGATTCTCTAGCGTTTAGAACTAGTGTATAATAGCCACAATCGTATAAAGACTCACATCGGTTCATTACAACGATGTTGAAAATCGACCAATGTTCAAACCTGACATCGTGAATAAACTCTTTTTTAAGATATTTCTATACTGCTATATAACTATACTCAAGAAAGTTCAAATGTAGAACATAATCTTACTTAAAAAAATAACGCCCAAAATAAAACAATTTAAATAAACTTGAAAAGAACATGAATAAATCCAGACATAGTATATATACTTTATTAGATAACAAAAGCGAATTATCTCTAAGACAGAAATACAGTTTATTGACATGTATTGACAGCTGTGCGCTTTAAGATTGTTATTTAGATATTGATATATGTCAGCACTCGTGGTATAGTGGTATCATGCAAAGATTGAAGACTCTACTGATTATGAAGAAAATACGCGCGAGTTCGAACCCTTCATATGCAACTCGTTTTTGAGAGGATAAAAAATCGTAAGTTAACAGTTTAAAGTTATAAAATAAGTTATCGTAAGTTAACGAAGTGGTCAGTGGATTCTTGAAAAATAATCTACTGTAAGAACAATAGACTGACGTCAGAGAAATGGGTTAAAAATTTGGTAAGATACGTGGTACTTTATATGTAACGATAGTGTTATTGTCCTCCTGAATTATAAATTTGGTAAGATACGTGGTACCTTATATGTAACGATAATGTTATTGTCCTCCAGAATTATAAATTTGGTAAGATACGTGGTACTTTATATGTAACGATAGTGTTATTGACCTCCAGAATTATAAATTTGGTAAGATACGTGGTATTTCATATGTAACGATAGTTTTATTGTCCACCAGAATTATAAAACATAGAAAAAAATCTATTTTATTTGGAATTGTTGCGGCGCTCTTTGTAGTTTAGTAAAAAAACAGGCTTGTATTTTCTGTCATGGTTTCCTTGATAGAGGGTTGCTGCTCACAAGGAAACTATTAAACCAAGAGTTCCAAGTGGTGAAATTGAAATCATCCCTTTGAGTTGGTTGACTGTTATGGAATAACCGTTTCACAGATGATGTTCCTATTGTCGTAAATACAATCCCGTCTCCCTTTTTTCCTCCGAATGTGACCTACCGAATTAGACTTATTACCGGGTTTGTACCAACACGACCAACACGACGGGTGCCACATGTGGAGCAGGATCTGCATACCTTTCTGGAGCACCTGAGATCACCCCCAGTTTTTGGTGGGGTTTCGTGTTGCTCAGTCTTTGGTTTTCTATATTGTGTTTTGTGTACTGTTGTTTGTCTGTTTGTCTTTTTCTTTTTAGCCATGGCGTTGTCAAATTATTTTTGACTTTTGAGTTTGAATGTCCCTTTGGTATCTTTCGCCTCTCTTTTACCTTGATAGCATTATACCTATAGAGACTTTCGTACAGACCTCGAGACATGCAATCTTCAGTTTCTGAAATCGGATAGGTGATCGTTGACCCAATTTAGTTATTTTTTCTTTTAAAGATAAACAACTATATAGGAGCAAGTGTTGAATATTTGTAAGCAATAGACATCTTTTCTACAGACTATAGACCATACTTTCTTTTTTCCCTTTTCTACGTATACAAATGTTTATGTAAGAACCTGGATTAAGGGAGCCAACTATTTACATCGGTTATGTGTTTGTAATTGTCAGTTTCATCAATGCCTTTTTAGCATTCTTATAAAACAAAATTAAATTAAATCTATGAAAATGGTTGACAAAAGAGTACCAGTGATTTTGAAGAGTTATGTCTTAAGCAAGATCAACTTCCTTAAGTTCATAAAAATAAATTGTGCATTTACCTGAAATATGCAAATGTTTCTACCACGAAATTTTTAAATGTTTACTTTTCGGCTCCGAGCTTCAACATTACTCTCGGGAAAAAATTGTGTAAAGAAGTGGACGACAACGAGAACACGAATAAGACCTTATTTTTATTCAAACAGAAAACTGTCAAAGACTGTTTGCTAACATTTTTACACCTTTGTACATGTAGACATTATCTGTTTGGTATGAGTCTTTTAAAGTTAATTTTCCTTGTTAACCAAGCGATTCTATACGCTCTGAAAACTAGTACACAGTTGACTTTCTTGCAAATAAAATATAAAATGAGATATTATCATTTGATTTGAAGCGTCACATATAGTTTATTGATATATGAAAGCTTCATCAACACCATTGTAATTAAATAAAATCTAGCAAAACTGGCTCTTTATTTAATATAAACAAATAAACATAGGCATGGGGTAAACGCCAAATGACAGATCAATCAAGCAATACTAAAGAATGAACAAACGAAAATACCAAAAGATACTAGAGGTCAACATAGGGATGATAAACAACTTTTCAAGACTTTTTGACGATTATGAGATTCTTATGATATATAGAATGTTGTCTAATATTGCAGACCGTATCTTGACCTGTCGATTTTTTGGGTTTTTTTTATGTTGTTTTGTTCCTTTCTTTTTGACGTGTATTTCCCACTTCTTCTCATTCATAAGACCATCAAAAGGACGTTCGTGTTTGAGTGTCATAGCTGTTCCTATAACTCTTAAAACAATATCGCCCATCCTCTTAATTAAAGTTATGGTGTTTGGAATCATGCACTATTATACAATTTACTTTGCTTTTAGATCTTAAGAAGATTATGAATTAGCCTTTGAAATGTCCCAAATAATCTATTGCTTTAATGGTCCCGGATGTAAATATCTCAAAGATGAATACTACAATGGCGATATAATTTGACAAAAAATCATTATCAATATGTCTATAGTCAACGTCATGTTCAGAAATAGTTAATTATTCGAAAATAAAAGAAAATAATTAGGTTATAATTGTTGTTTCCAAACATTGTCATCTGTAAATTTCATTGACACAACTTTAAAATAACTGTAAACTGTTGTTTTGCTCAATTTTGTATCGGTTATTGTTTATGAATTGTAATTCGAGTTATTTTATAGCTATTATGTCTCATAAATAGACAATTTAAATGTTTGCATGATTCCATCTTTAGTATTAAACAAGAACCTAGTATTTTATAAGCACATGCTTAAATACCGTAAAAAATATAAATCTTATTTGTGACAATGTTAATAATTCTTTAAATTCAATAATAAATGATTAAAATCAAGCGCGCCATTTAAGAACAAATGTTTTAGAAAAAAGTGATCCTCTAAAAGCCAATAACATTTGCTTAATATCAGCACGATTTGTGTTTAATTTTATTAATTGACATTTTCACATTTGGGTGATTTTACGAACTGGAAGTGCGTAAATTAAATTCTAAAACCATTTCAAAAGAATGTTCACCATCCTCCAAAAAAAGTCTATTTGAAAATTAATTCTCTGTTTTTTCACAACAAGAGATAATACACACAGATCTGTTTTTCTTGCAGCCCAAAGGAAGTTACTGTTTCAATGTTGATTAATAAAGAAGTATCATAATAAAGAATAGAAAGAGATGACGCAAATTATTTTTTTTTCTCAAACGAAGGCCAACTGTTTGTCGTATTCACTAAAATGTACAAGTTTTAATAGCGCTGTATTTTTTGTTTTTGTTTTTTTTTTTCATTTTAATTATTGGTTATTTTAAGAAGATATAAATGACGAAATTAATTTTTCCTTAACAATAATAGGAGGAAACAAAAGAAATAAAGATTGTATTGCTAAGATCACCGGAAGATTGCAAAAGAGTATGATATATGATTACCTAGTGATCAACATCTAGTATAAGATAGAACTCTCTCGAGAACATCTCCAAATACCGAATTATTGTCGGAGCAGATGTATTATTGCTTCAGCAAATATTCTCAAAGAAATCTAAATGGACGCAAATTTCTTCTTAGACGTTACCGTTCAACACGTGTCAATTATCTCTAACTAAAAGATGTATGACACTCTGAAGACAAATAAAATATTTTATATATGACATTTATTTTATTTTATGTTTTTTATAGGAGCTTGGAGAAGCACCAATGCACCAGATTTATGTGAGAATATGTATGTTGATGACTGGCCGTGGATAGGTAGGTGCAGCATTATCTTAAGAAGTTTAATAGGTGCATCTGGTATCTGGTGCAATATTTGTCATTGTTCAATCACATCTTCTATAGATTTTAAGCATTACTTAATTATTTATTTGATTAACTAATTACACATACGAATTCCCATGTTGACAGTTTTTTTTTATCTATTATAGATAGTGAGAAACTTTAAACAGGATCATAAGATAATATTTACAAATCAGTTAACATGACCAAAAATCATCAGTTGACCCTTTCAAGAAGATATGATCACTAAATGATAGTGTTTTACCGTTCAACACGTGTTAATTGTCTCTAAACACAATATGTATGATGCACTTAAAACAAATACCATATTTCTAATATGACACCTATTTATTTTTTGTGTTTTTAAAGAAGCTTGTATTAGGACTTATGCACCAGATTTATATTTATCTTGTGTTTTATGACCAATTTTAGTATTATTACCTAATAAGTATTATATATCGACTTAAACTGTGAAAAATCGAAAATGATCAGGAAAACAAATCTACAAATCAGTCAAATCAGTCAAATGATTGAAACCGTCAATTGATTCCTTATGGGAGTTGTTGACCCATATTCACATTTCAATAGTTTCAGTGGTACATATTCATGTTATCTAACGACATTGACACATATTCATGTCATTTGGTTATTCAGCAACGTTAATATTCAGGTTTTGTTTATATTTCGATTTTCGATCGTCGAATAAAATATAATTTTTGTTCAAAATACAATTTAACCACATATTTACTGAAACAAAGGACAGTTATTATCGTACTCCATATTCCCCAAAAATGTACCTAATGACAATTATTTACCAAAACCAAACGTTTTACTAAAATTATACTCGCAAAAGCACATGACGTTTTACACAGGGAATATCAATTGTTGGGGGGAGGGGTTGTACGTATCAGTTTTAGTCTTTTTCAGAATGCACGAAGCGTTTTTTTTTCAGTAAGTTTAGCTGTTTTAGTAAAAATTCATATAGAAAACCCCGACTAAATGATAATATGTATCTATAACAAGTAATGTAACAGAGTGTATTTTCATTTTCACACTTTATTTTATAATAAGCTTAATTTTCAGCTAGTTGGAATCCGGAGCCAACAGTTTGTCCTGTAGCTGGTGGGTTTACTTTCCGGACGAAAAGTAGACTGACTAATCAGGTAATCATATGTTGTTTTTTTTAGAAGAAGACGGTGTTTAAAGCAAAAGCGTAAAGGAACATTTTGTTTGGTGGTAAAATTTCTAATACTGGAAAAAAAATAGTGATTCAAGCAGATTGATATTTATAAGACATATGCACATTGGTTCTAGTTTAACTTCATTTGTAGACTTCAAGTATATTAGAAAGTCATTTGAAGAAATCGCTCTTCATTCCCATAATTTCTTTCATGGTCATAGTATTCACTTCTACAGTTCAATTAAAAGGAACATGCAACAACATTTACGCTACGCAAAGTATCTACGCGTTCTATAACTATTTCCCTGATTTCTGATGAAGTCTTTCAAACATTTGTTGAAATAAACGCATGTTTCTTTTATACATTTAATGCACACAAAAAAAAGCAAAAAAAAGCGAATAATTAACATATTGATCTATTGAAAGGCGTTTGCTGATATCATTCTTTGTTTATAGGATGTTTGTAAAGATGATTGGCGAAGGTCAAAATTAGAAATTGAATGTCTTAAAGGTGATGGTATGGATTTTTTTGCTCCAAAGGGGAGTAACTGCAATCCGTTTTTATCCCAGGGAGAATGTAAGTTATTTTTTGTCTTTTATGATTTTTTTCTTCAGTTTTCAGGATTTACAATACCCCTACAGACATCACCTGACTTTTGTTTTTCTGAGTTTATCATTGAATGATATGAACAAGGCTACTTATTGTTTTATATTATTAAATCAATGTGAAGTAAACAAGAATATACAAACTTACCATTAGTATGCATGCATGTCTACACATAAAGTAAATACAAATAACAACTGCTAGCTACATGTGGCTCACTTAAAGTATAATTAAAAGTTAAAAAAAAATCGAGAAATATTCTATGTACAGTGGGGATCAGAATATAAGTTATACCAAATTTTCAACCCTTTTTATTTAATTTGATCGAAATTTGGTTAAGACTGTTAGGTGCTTTATTTTCAAATTATGACAATCATATCAAGTATGAAGATTAAATGACGAATTTACTCAACAACCAAGACGTTTTAGAAGTTAAAGTATAAGGGTTTACTGCAATATCGAGAAAACGTTTTAAATACAGAAAGATAGATGATGAAAGTAAGAATTTACTAACAAGGTAGTTACTACATCAAACGAAACAACGATGATACATACACTTTTAAACCAGAAAAGAAATTTTGAACAACAAAAACACTATTTCAACCTTGAATGAAATCCGTAATAGGTATTTAGGAAGGGTAAACAGATCTTGCTGTGTTACATAAATCGAAAAGAATGATATCAAATATATTCAAAATCATGATGAAATAAGCCATTTTCATACAAATTGGTTTTTATTTTTCGATCGTAGGGAAGCGTCTGTATTGTCTAGGAGGATGGACTTATGGAAATCATTCTTTTATGATCGCAGCTGGAGATGATTATAATCATCACTTTTGTATTGTAAGTGTATACTTTTATTCCAAATCCATGTATTATATTGGAAAATATGAATGATAAGATAACCAACGCAAAAAAGTAGAATAGAAAGTCAGTTTTCATGAATATACCAGAACGAAAGCACCTTCAATGAAAAAAGACAGATAAATGAACAAAAGGCTTTAAACATATTAGGCCTGATAACCGAAAAATGGAAACTTAAAGATCAGACATTTTTTACTAATATTAACAAAGGCACCAATAGTTTACCGATTTTCAAATCTCATAATTCGATTAAGAAAAAAAATCAAGGTAACAAACAAAAACTGAGGGCACCGCACGAACTCCAACAGGGGCGAGACCGGGTTTGTCAAATTAAACGGAATAAATAGCGGTTTTGTCTTTCATATTTGTGATTTAACTTAATATACACATCTTTAGATGCAATAGTCTTTGACACCATGTTCTGCTTACGCGTATTTTACAATTACGTCCATACCTGCTGCTCAAATTACTCAAACGTGGGTATGATGACGGCCCTAATGCAGAAACGACGCCGTACTTCTATAATTTAAAATGAGAATTTATGAATTTTGGAGTGAAAAGTCGGGGAAGACAAAAATGCATAGTCGTTTAACTTTTGCTTCTGAACCAACCCATTCATTTTAGCGGCATGTGTATGAGTAAGAAATACTGTCAATGATTCATAATGCCATTCCAAGACTGATGAATACGATATCTTGGTATATCATTTTAACACAGACATATTAAACAGATCCAGATCCATTTTTGGCAATCTAAGATACAGGTTTTGCCATTGTCGTAACATTAACCACAAAACATGTGTGAATACTCAATACGGCTTAAAAGAAATATCAACCAATAAAGCAATTTTCTGATATAACGATGCATGATGGGTGAATAGGTGCAGATTAAAATGTGGTTTCGTGCATGTGGTGTTTGTTTGATTTCAATTATCTTCATTCCAATATTCATCTGTTTTACATGTACTTCGGAGATTAAAATTGACAATATATTGCCCTGAGATAACACCTGTTGTAGTTATTGGCCAAAGTAAATATATTACTTTACATGTTAAATTGTCTTCGGATAAATAAATAAACCGTATAAGTCATTTGAAATAAAGATACAAGTGAATATAATTAAACTTTGGCTTATTTTTGTGATTAATTATATTCATTTCAAATTGTATAATATAAATATCCTCCATTTTGTTATGTTTTTAAACAGTTGATATCAATATCTTTACATTTGTGGCATAATGTGTTTTTTCAGAGGTTTCCTGCAAAGCCATATAAAGAATTTGTAGCGTTGCTATACTTTAGTCCAATATGTCCAATACATGAAGATGGTCAGCCCTCAACAGGGATTGATTATTATGAGTTACATTTAAACAGAACAGGTGAAGGTCTTTAAAAATGATCTATTATCAATAAATATTTATTTCCATTCTCTATTCAAATATTTAATTCAGTGAGCAAGACATTTCTAAACACACCAAAATCATAAAGTGTTTTTCTTTTTGTCTGAGAAATAATAAAAAAAACATAACTCATATATATTAACTAATCTATGAATATGAAGATGGGGAAATAGTTTTTTGCCGATGTTCAAATCTCATATATCGATTGAATATTAATATGAAGGAAACAAAACAAAACGGAAGGAATTGCTTAACTACAAAAGTAAAAAGTACACTAAACACTTAGTAGTTTACCAACGTTCTAAACTCGCAAATCCATTTGAAGTATACCACACAAGGAAAAAGATATAAAAATAAAAGTAACACAAAAGTCAAAAATTGCACTTCAATCAACTGTACATAAGTACATATGCAAGAAAAATTAAAGTAACGGCTTATTTTTATTAAATATCTGTATGTGTAGCACGTTCTAGATGTGCCTGTGGCTTTCACTAATTATCTAAAGTAAGCCATTCCATTTCATAAAAAATATTTGTAAAGAATAAAAGTTAACGACATAGAATAACTCAAATGAGTTCCATATGTAGATCGAGACGAATGTGAAGACGAGAATGAAAAGTTTTGCCAAAACCATGCCCAGAAAGGAATGTGTGAAAAATCAAATAACAGATATCTACCGCACTGCAGAAAAACGTGTGGTCTCTGTAGTAAGTAATGTTTTAGATTAGTATAATTTTTAGTGATATATTGAAGCAAAAAAAAAAACACACATCAAAGATACCAGGATTATTTATTAGACTCATCAGTGACGCTCGATTCAAAAAAGGTAATAAACTAAGTTGAAGAGCATTAAGGCCAAAAGTTCAGAAAGGTTTTGCCAAATACAGCTAAAGATTTCTATTCCTGGGGTACACAACCCATAGTCAATTCAAAGTTTTGTAAAAGTTAATTTATAAATACCTTATCAATGATTATTCATGTCAACACAGAAATGCTAACAACTGGGCTGGGGATACCCTCTGAAAGGAAACCTCTACCAGCTTTGTATCGACCAGTGGTTTTAAAAAACTCATCGCTTTGTACGCCAGACGCGCGTTTCGTCTACAAAAGACCTATATGTATCATTAACACTCGAATCAAAAAGGTTAAAGGCCAAATAGAGCTAAGATTAATATCGCTGTAATGAAATATCTCGTCCGTTGAATATCGTTTGCTTGTGTGGGTTAAATTACTATTAATATTGAGAATAAGATTGCACTTACATGACATTATTTTTTTGTACTAAAACATATTAGAATAACGTTAAATATTACATCAGTATTGAATCAAAGAGAAAATGGGATTAATTTATATGTTTTTGTATCAAAATGAAATCTAACTCTAAAGTAGACATGTCAGGATTTCAGGTGTTTGCACTTTTATTTTTTAACAGTTATATATGTTATGAAATCCAGCACGCAGCTCTTAAATTGCGTAATAAACTTTGTGTATATACTATGTATTAAGTTCGCACGATACTATATGATATGGGCTTAAGTCATTGTTGAAGGCCGTCGTTGGTCTCTGGTGGATTTCAACCATTTGCAATCATACAACATCTGCTATTTTTCTATGATGTTAAAAAAGAGGAACGAAAGATACCAGAGGGACAGTCAAACTCATAGATCAAAACAAACTGACAACGCCATGGCCAAAAATAAAAAGACAAACAGACAAATAATAGTACAGATGACACAACATAGAAAACTATAATAAAAAGTATCACTGTTTTCTATTAGCATTGACATGTAAGAAGGCGTTTTTTGCATAATAACCAAAACTTTTTTTTTAAGTATCATCATCTTTATTTTAAACATGTCAATTCAAATTCACTACTCTAACGTAATATTTTGTCCGAAGAAGATAAAAAAAATTCTAGCCATCCGAATATTTGAATCATTACTATTTGCAGATAACAAAGAAAATTTCTGGACAGAGGTCTCATTCAGTGAGCTCGTCCGAGGAAAGTGGTTGTTGTTTGAAAACAATAAGGAAGAAAAAGTGGTAATAAATCGAACTCATATTTATTTCTCAAACCTGGGCCATTTTGTATGCTTAGAACGAGTATCTCTTCCTGCGCAGTACTTATATAAATTAGTGTCCAACTTTAATAATGGATGGTAAGTTTTTGATATTGCTTTTGTGATCTTGAAAGATATTATTGCGTTCATATATTTTTTGAGATTCTTGAAGAAAAATACGAGATTGATATTTGCAATTTTCAGTAAAAGAAAGCCGAACGATACCAACGCTATGTCAATATGAAAAAGACCAAAAAGACAAACAAAAGTATACAAAACCCTATCAAATACCGGGGTAATGCTGCATACAATTAATGGTGTATGTTTATTACAAATTGCTTTTAATGCTGTTTTATATATTATTTTACTTTTGTTTTACTTTAGGAATTCCATGTTAAACATGCGACGTTGCCAAACATTATCTGAACGGAGTTTCAAAAAGGGTTGTCCTGCCTTTCGACTTCATTTCACTGGACAAAATCATGCTATATTTTTTTTCAATTTGAGAATTATGTGTAAATACTTTTAATACAGGCTGCAGTGAAGGCTCATTTGTACTTCTTATTTATTCACTTCATGATCAAACATTATTCTTATATTATATTTTTACAGAAAAGAGTAAAATGATTTATTCTAATTTTATTTAAGCTCTACGAGGTACACTTGCATTGAATTGAAACGTCCACATAACAATATTCTCCAGTTCCGATTAGGTTGGTATATTTCATTATTAAAATCAATTATAAGAATAATTGATGATGCAGCTTAATCCCTATGTGAACAGTTTGTAATTCTTTGCACAATGTCTGATGAAAAAATGAGTTAAAGATACCAGACATATAATGTGATATGCTAAAATCACGTTTCGTCTACATCAGCTGAAAATATTTTTAATCATATGTGAATAATTTATATTTTTTCATATCCTATATCAATATGAAGGGTTTAAAATTTCTGTTTAATGAACTTCCACATAATTTACATTTTTTCAAGAGGTCTAATTTGTCGTACTTTTTCCGCATTGCACATGTCTTACAAATCAGAGAACATTTAATTTCATGTTTATGTGGTGTATTCTTACTGCTGAAGCTATGTTTCGGAGATCTCATTTTTTATCACTATGTCTTTCATCTGACAAGTATTCGAGATGTACATTGAAAGCATTTATGATATTTGTTTTATAATAAAGTGTTTTCTACCATTGACATTGTTAAATATGTTTGCCTATATTATCGTGTGAACATTTAACAAACAATGTTGAGAAAGGTTTATGACTGTATATTTTATAATGCACTACTACACAAACATGAAATATTTACATTTATTTTCACACTAATGGTCATTTGTACAAATATTTAAAGGTCGCAGTTTCCGAGAGGATAAAAATCATATTGAGATGTGCAATTTCAAAAAGGACACGTATTCAGATAGAATCGAAAGCAGATATAGGAGTCCACAAAGGAGAAATCTGTTACGTAAGTATTATATATGACCTGCACAAAACGGTCCGTGAGATAAAAGAAATAAAAAAAATCGAATACACTGTTTTAAATTAATTCTATCTTTAAAAACATGGTACATACAAAAATAATTAAAAGACATACAACAAACTTAGATATCAGAATATCAGGTTAAGAAATTAGTGTACAACACCACCAAATAGGCTCAGTTGACTGGGAGCATATTCTTATTTATGCCTACAGAAAATTGTTTTGCAGAATGTTAATTTGCCTGCGCACAAAGTGATTTGAGACTACGGCACATCGGATCGGTCAAGCGATTCATGGTTGTGACAATAAAACGTTTGCAGTGACGATTTCAGTCGCTCTTTCTCATAACTCTGTTAAAGCAGTTTTGGTTTAAGGAACACAACCCTGCAAATGAAGACCGTATGGTGTGAACATGCACGAGTATAGCGTATAAACTCGTATGGTGTGAACATGCACGAGTATAGCGTATAAATCTGAAAAATGTAAACGTTATATGATAAAGCAGAGGGTTTGTTACTGCTTAGAAATGGGAAGTTGATAATTGGATTGTTGAAATCATCATGTTTTTCATAGATTCAAATTAGATGCCGTCCATCTGTCGTTACTACGTTTTCCTCAAATTAACTCTATTAGCTAGAAAATCCACTAGTTATTGTTCAGTGTGGTGTGTTTAAATTTTGTAAAGTTAAGAACTAATCAAGAGTAGATTAAGTTTGAAAAATATCCTTTTTCCAAGATTCTTATTTTTTTTTTTGTGTTTAGATGAAGAATGAGAGAAGACATTATTTAACAAAATTTACGCTCTCCATCACGAATTGGTTAATATTTAAAGTGCCTAAGGATCTTTACATACTGTAGTCGACATGTTTACTTTTCAAACGATAAAGGTTTTATCCTGTTTATCGTTTTGACACTTGAAATTGTATATTATGAGGAACTCCCGCTGTATTACTATCATATTTTTATGTTTTTACAGATACTAATGATATGGTTTTAATTTTTAAAAAAGATTTCATTGTACAAATACCAAGCTAATATGATTTTCAAATTGTAACTATATTATCACCTGAGCAACATCGAATCTAAAAATCTATGTACAGAATTTAGTGTTTGAATGTTTGATCAAGATTTGATTTTGACCTGTGTGATCATCTAATGATCATAAACTTAATCTTTGTAATGTTTCATTAATAAGAATAGCACAATTGTGTAAACTTGTAGAGTTGTGGTTGAAACATGCAATTTGAAAATTTGTCTGTCAGAAAACAACTCAAATTATCTTCACTATTTTATCTAGTCGATATCAACTTATTTTGTGTTATTATTCGCTAAAGCTAAGTAGTATATTAGAATGAAGAGTGTCTACTTTTTTCTCAGAAAGCATAAACTATAATCATTTATCAACCGTTAGAACTATTGTAATATATTAAAAAAGTAATCATAACCAATCATCATTGTTCTGATTATGTAAAGATAATGCATATCTGCTAGTTCGATAGAGCTCAGAAAAAGCGAAGACAAAGTCGAGGTTGACAACGATTTTCTCGTAAGGTAGTAATCTGCTCTATCACCCTCTCAATTGTAATTTTATTAATTTATTAATTATTCAGACTTTTCTGTTTTCATAGTTTTTCTGCCCCACCTAGGGGCATTATGTTTTTCGGTCTGTGAGTCCGTTCGTGCGTCCGTTCGTCCGTCTGTCCCGCTTCAGATTAAAGTTTTTGGTCAAGGTAGTTTTTGATGAAGTTGAAGTTCAATCAACTTGACACTTAGTACACATGATCCCTATGATATGATCATTCTACTTTAATGCCAAATGAGAGTTTTTACCCTAATTTCACGGTCCACTGAACATAGAAAATGATAGTGCGAGTGGGGCATCCGTGTACTATGGACACATTCTTGTTAAAATTCATTTTAGTTTTTTTTTTGTATATACATGAGAGTAACATTGAAAAAAAATCGATTTTAAGGTCGAATGAAATCCTATTATTTAAACATAAAAATACTGGCATTTTAATTAACATGAAGATGAACAAATTGAAATTAACAACTGTAATATTGTGTTTTCGTTGTTTTTGCATACAGAAACAACTGGTTAAAATAACATTTTTTTTTATTATCAGGAGAGGGAGAGCTATGGGAATCACCATGTGGTCTTTCTGGAACCATTCCATTTGAAGCTGTTTTAGGAGGTCACAAATGTACCGGCAATGTTTCAGATTGGAATGCCTTCACATGTACATATAACACACATGTAAAGATAACTACAGACAACTGCATTGGAATGAACAAAGAGAGAAGTGAGTATTTCATCATAATATAATTATCAGATTGTGCAATGAAAGTACGATTTTTTTTATATATTTGTTATACAAACCAGCGATATTACAATGTTCATTATTTCTCCGAAGTAACATCAGAATACACGTTATACTTAAGAAGTAAATTAGGATATGAATCAATGTATTAATGTTTTTTAGTTATTTTTCTTAAACAGATAATCTTAATAACAGCATAGAAATGTATAAAATACGTACATTATTACTCGCATTATGAAATATAGAATAATATTCTGCGGTCTGCCATATAAAACTTCAAAGACCCAAGATACCGAAAGGTTTTGCCTAATACAATTAATATAATCTATTCCTGGGGTAAAAATAAATTCTTAGTATTTCGAAAAATTCAAAGTTTTGTTAACAGTCAATTTATAACTATGATTATATACAAGATGATTCATCATACTATGATTCCTGTCCAGTGTTGGGGTAATTACGATTATCCTTTTTATGTAATATCAAGGAACACACGCTACTGTGATCAGTGCTATTTCGATTGATATCAGCATGACTATGACATTAAACCGATAAAACTATTACCGTGGTTTCATTTATTTTCGTGGGTACCAGTTTACGTATATTGAGAAAAAATGGTATTTTCTTGGATATTTGATTTCGTGACTACGTTGAACATGAACATTCGTGGTTCACGTTTGCTTGCCTAAATTTTATGCAATAAAAAAAAATAGATATCACACAAATAAAAATATATCCACAGTGTATGCATTCAATACAAGTATGGATTCTTGATAGTTGGATATTTTCAAAATACTTCGTTATTTATGTCTAAACTTATATGGCAATGTTTAAAATACCGTTAAAATGACAAAATTACGTGACAGGAATACAGTACAAATAAATGCATGAACACTCAGGACAGAGAAATACATAAATGAATAATATGATAGTACATTTCAACATGTAAACCACAAAATACAACGAACACCTAAAATTAATTTACGATAGTACACAAATACAGCATAATAGAATCATCAGTATTATGATATTTTTGATTAATATTATTATTTCAGAATATAAATGTTTAGCTTTCCTTAATGATGAATTTGATTTGTCAGACAAAATGTCTACTCAAATGATACTGACACATGCAATGGATGAAACAAATGAATTTATCTGCTGGGTAAGAAGTATAGTAAAAATAGATACACATTCACAGTTTAATAAAATTGTAACATTTAAATACAAATAAAAGACATATTGAACTTTCTTACTAAGTGTTTCATCTATATTTGTTTTGATAATATTTAAAAATATTTAAAAGAGAACATGTTATGTTCAATGTTGTGCAAAGCCCAATTACATAACAACGAATGAGAAAGGAATTCGTGTTATTAAACAAATATCTAATATTAATTGGTCGATTTTTATATCTATTAGTTAAAAGTTCACGTTTGGGCTAGCCAATGTGTATTAAGAAATTTCCTAAAAGATTGTTAATCTCCTCGAAAAGAGACACCTTTTTCGTTTTGGTTGTATACCGGATTAGAGAGGTCCAAATGACTAAATTTCTATATCCCTAGTCAACCCTTTGGAGTGTGTTCAAGTGAGTTCGTTTCCGAAGTTTTGGGGATATTTGTGTTTCTAAATCTTAAGATTATTTGTGTCGTCTGTTGTTTTTCATTTGTTTGGCCATGTTTGAAATGATCTTGTTTATCTTTCTTCGACTCGTACGTTTTGTACGTCCTCTTGGTATCTTCATATTTTGTTAGCTTAAATAGATAATTTACAATACAGGAAAGGGATGAAAATACCAAACGTTTCACGCAATAAGCAACACTAGCTCGTTTAAAACTGGTGATGAGAATTTCACATCTACCACTAGTTGTAAGTCGCTCATGAAAAAGCACCATTAATATTTTATGCAATCTTGCAACTTCGATAAAATTAAATTTGTTAACAACATGTTCTGTGTCATTACAGGTGGTAACAACTTTTCCTGGTGATGATTTTGAATATCCGGAGACAAGGATTTATAAAATGCCAAATTTACAATGTTCTTCCTTTGAATTTGTCAATCAACACCTCATCAGGAATAAAAATAACTACTTTCATTTGTTATATGGTAAGGAAGATATATGATTAAAAATTCATATATTTTAAATAGTGTTGAAAATATGTCTAATGTTTGTGAATTGTCTACCAAGACGAAGACTATACACATTGATTTTTTTTCTATGAACACACTTATAATTAATCAATGCCATGTTATTACAAAGGATATCATACTATCCTTCAAGTTCATGACAAAAAATAAATATTGTGGATATTTACATATCCCATTTTGAAAATAAAGTTAGAAATTGGCAAAGGGGTTTGATAATACGCCCATTTTAGGTGTAATACACAATAAATGTAAGTACTCGAAAAACAATTTGTGTTCCCACTGGCTGACCAACAGTCAACATACCGTGTTTGAGGATCAACAGTACGTATTCGTTTTAAAAATGAAATTTATAAAGTTTATCTTAATTCAAGGCCGTGTGATTCACTGAGAATCAAAAACAGACATGTTTGTGTTTCATGCAGTAATGAATCAAGCTCTTTCAAACCGATTTTTCAATTTGCTTTTATGTTGTGATGGTGCACCACTGTCCAAGGGTAGACGAGATTCGAGTGCTTACAAACATGTTTACAACGCTGCATTTTTATGCACCTGTCCTAAGTCAGGAGCCTGTTTTTCACTGGTTGTCGTTTGTTGGTGTGGTTCGCGTTTCTCGTATTTTATATAGATTAGACCGTTGGTTTTCCTGTTTGAATTGTTTAACACTAGTCTTTTTGAGGACCTCTATAGCTTGCTGTTCGGTGTGATCCAAGGCTCCGTGTTGAAGGCCGTACTTTGACCTATGATTGTTAACTTTTTACACATTGTGACTTGGATGGATAGTTGTCTCATTGGCACTCATACCACATCTTCTTATTTATATTAACCCTGAAAAATTCTTTACGTTTAGTTTCACTGATTTATTTAACATAAATCAGGCCAGGTTTTCTAAATTTCACATGTTTGTCACACCTTTTGATAGCTTACTATGGTTAGTTTGTTCATTGGTAATCATACCACCTCATCTTATTTTTTTACATCGTCAGAAATAAAACCTTGAAGACACTTGTCTATAACTCTAATACATCCTGATATAGTTTAACTTAATTGATATGTCAACTGTAATAAATTTTCTGAAACTCCATTGTTGGATCATGATGGATGTATATTTGTAATCACATGACTTGCAAGGAGCTTTATTGTGTACATATTTCTCTTTTTGTTTTAGATAAAAAGTCAAAGGCTACAGTTTGTGAACCTGCAATTAATCCAACCCTATCAAGACCTCAAAATGATGAAAATATAACATATAAAGTCATAGAACAACCTGTTCCATCAACTAAAACTATAAAAAATACAGTAAAACCGCCAACCTTTTCTCGATCTCGTAGTGCTTCATTACACAGTTATAAAATAGATTTACTATGTACTACTGTTTTCATATTCCTATTGGTTCTGTAAAATAATCTTTAACCGTATAAATGCCGTCGAAAACACTCAGTTCATTCAAAGTTAGAGGTTCAAATACTGAAATTACCAAACTCGATGATGTGGATGAAGTTGACAAAAATATATAGTTTTGTTGTACGTTATATCATAAGCTATTATTATTTACCAACACTATAAAGACACATTCCACAGAGAAGAAATAAGATTATCTGAAAAGAGTTAGTAAGACGAAGAAGACATTAAATTAATATGCGTGTTAAGGATATTGGCTGCTCTGTTTCAAAATAGCAAGCTGTTTTAAAGACTGTTTTAAATTGATAGAATATCAATAACGAAACTTAAAAAGCACAAAAAATGAAAGATTCATGTACTGGTTTTTAAGATATAACATGTATAAGCAATTGAACATTTGGCGAGAATGATTCTCTCTAGATTTTTCTTACATTTAATATTGGCAATGGCTTTTTAAATATATCTAAAAAATTATGAAAGGAAAAGAAGGAGTAAGCCGGTAAAATTAGCAATGGTACTACATGGATAAATGTAGAGGATTCCGAATATCTGACAAAAGTTCAAAAACAAGAGTAGCGAACATCATTTAAATTGTTTGTTTGAGAAGATCAAAGTTGTTATATATATTCATGTTATATAATTGACACAAAATTATTTGTTATAATGTGTATAATATGTATATATTAAGTTCATGCATTTCTTATAATGCAAAATTCACTAAGCGACTTCCGTATGACTATATTGTTTACGTTCTAGTAATTTGAACGCAAGTTTTAATGACATCGTGCTTTTCAAACAGGATGACTAATAGACTTAAAAAATGGTATAAATTAAAAGTAGTTTGATGTTTGTTGAATATTCGATTTTTAAGTTTTGTTATGTAGTACTTATTGTATCAAAACATTTTATAATTAGACCAATTTCAGTTCTATGTGTAGATATGTGATGGTTTTGTTATTATCTTTGTGAAATATAATTGCTTGCTTTTTTCGGTGAATTTTAAGTATTAATCATAAAATGACTTGAATGATAGATCGGGTAGGTATCTTGCTGGTCGAAATGTTTTTTTTGTAGAAACCGAAGCCTATCATATAATATCAAACAATGAAACGTGCAAGTATTCACACATTTTATACCAACACACAATGCTAGAAAGAATGTGTATAAAAGGAAGGATATCAGTTATCTTGTTCAGCTCATTTGCAGTTACCTCGCTTTGTATTTGCTTTGTTTGAAATTGAAATTATTTGAAAATGATATACAACTACATTGTTAATCAAACTGTTAATAAAAGTAAGAAGAAGTGGTATGATTGCCAGTGAGACAACTCTCAACAAGAGACCAAATGACCTGTAATTTAACAACTATCGGTTACCCGACGGCCTTCAACAATGAACAAAACACATACCGCACTGCAGCTTTGAAATGGCCCGAAATGAAAAATGTAAAACAAGAAAACAAGAAAACTACTGGCCTGATTTATGTATGAATATTTTAAATGCAAGCTGATATACTATAAGCCAGTGAGTATTTAACGGTGGTATAGAAGGTGGATTAAATGAATAAATCAAGTTCACCTATATATAAATATATATGTTGACCTTGTTAATTATTATTAGCTTTGCTATGGTTACAATTAATTAATGTTAAGGTTTCAATCATCTTTGATTCCCGTTAAGTATGCATTTTATATGTTTTTCTATCAAAATTCTTGCGTATGTTTCAAATATCAATCAGATTCAAATATAAATACTACTTTTCGATATCTTTTTTTTTGATGATGTTTTGAATCGAACGCATAGGTTTGAATGTCGTCATTCCCATTATGAAAATGAATGTGGACGTAAAAGATTATAAGAGAAAAATGTAGGTCATTGTTAGACGGTAGTGACACGAATTGTAAGTAGGGTATGATGCATTTATGACTAATTTATATAAGCAACGAAGTGAATACCATTATGGTTTGTAATTTATACATATTTATTTATTTATCATTATTTATTGAATAACAGTTTCACAAATTTTGTACTGCGAATCACTTTTTCATTTACAAGTAGATATATTGTATCCTATAACATTTTTGCATATGCAAATGCTAATTGAAATGTGTAATATAACTACGTAAGAACTACTTTATAATTGTAGAAGACTTCACCATTTCATTTACCATAAAACAAAAATGCATCGCTCTTCACATGTATTTGATTGTACGTATACACAACTATGTATGACCAGTTGTTTGATTCATATGATATTGTGTTTTTATAATTTGTAATTAACAGATAACGCAATAAAGTTGCTGTGTTTTGTTTTTGATGTTTAATTTGTTTTATATGATAACAAAACAAAAAGTTAGATTGTTGTTTGTTTGGAAATAAAACAATACTCTAAAATTGTCCAACTGCACTTTAGTCAGGAATTTGACAGTTGTTTTCCATTCGTTTGATGTGTTTTAGCTTTTGATTTTGCCATTTGGTAAGGGACTTTCCGTTTTGAATTTTCCTTGGAGCTCAATATTTTCGTTAAATTTACTTTTTGAATTAACTATCTACTCGGGTTTCGTTTTAGCACAGAATCCCTTCACTTTAGTAGACGCAAAACCTTTTAATGATGTCACAATAGTATAATAAGCTTTCCAAAATGATACCATGCTTCATTTTGGAAAGTACTAAAGGACAGACAAATGCATATAAAGCTGATATAAAAGGTTTTCCTTTTTTCATGCGATATAAGGACATCTCAATTTTTGAAATACCTTTGAATTTAGTATTTCCTATTTACCAAAGACGCAGACAAAATCAGTTCTTGACTGATTGAAATGAAATCTTAGAACCAACCGCTGTCTTATACACTTATTCTGAACATTTTAAAACAAGTCATCAAAATTATGTTGATGTGTGCGATGGCAGAGTTTTTTAATTATCAGTTTCTTTTGTCTTCATTTCAAATTAATAGAATTACATAATTAAGAAATAATACAAATATTTTAACTATAACTTTTCACGTTTTGGATACAGTTAATTTCAATATCAAACTAGAATCTATTACGTGTAGATTAAAAATTTCTTATTGAAAACATTACATCTATCAATAGCAATATACATTCTTCCACCTAGTATAGCATTTACATATCTCAATTGGTACGTAGCGCGCATTCGTGTTCATAAAATTCAGTCTTCATAAACAGGGTTCCTAACTAAAAAATCATCAAGGAAAACACACCCAGCAAGGATGCTGTGAATAGCGACTGAAATCGACAGTAAAAACGTTTTACGGCCACCATAACAAATTAGAAAAGTCAAGGAGACCACATATCTTTATTCTGTCTACCATTTGGGTAATATACACAATGAGTTAATAGAAACATTAAAAGCCAATTCATTATCTATTATAGTCCAGTTAATGGTATTAATTGAGCTGTACACAAATAGTATTTTTAAATTAAGTTATACAAAATTTGGACGTCACATTTATTTAAAAGAGCGAAATAAGAAAGACACATCAATAAGGAGATGAGGTTATTTGTAATTAGATAACTACGGGTTCCATATGTTAAATACTGTAGTTTGACCATTCTTCGCGGATGCAGGAACCCAATTATTTTCATTTAATACATTCTTCCATCTGTCGTCCGTCTGTACAGTTTTTGTGAATAAATGTAAATATGCAGATATCATCTATTTGAACCATTTAATTTTGGATTAAACTTGAAGTTATAGTAATATTTTTTATAAACGCAAAATCCCAAAAATGTGACAAGGACACTGATGCAATCGTGTGCAGTACCTGCGAAAATTGATCAATTATATTATTTTTGGAAAAAAAAATTTTTATGCAAAATCAAATTTTTTTTTGAAAGATTCTTTTTTGCTAAGATTTCAATAAAAAACAATATTATGGTATAATATACTACTGCTATGTTTATGAAAAAGGGAGATACGACAGCTGTAAAAACTAAATTCTGTTTTTTTTAAAATCGGTTAACTTCTGTGCTAGGATTGCAACGGCAATTGGTATATGCTTTTCCCAATTAAATCCAAGTGACATGAAATGTTTTTTGGAATATTGGAACAAATTGTTACAAAATTACAAATTTTAAGATACATATCTCTTTTGTGATATAATTGAAGCGAAACTTATATTATTATATAATACCTATTCTAAATTGATTCCCATTGACAAATACCGATTTTAATGAAATTGGAATCAAATGAACTAATGACTTAGTCGTTGTTCAAGAATCTCGTATTTGAGACACATTCTTTTCTCTGGATGGACATTGGGAATCAATTTGGAATAATACAATATACCTTTATAGATTTTTATTGAAATCCTAACACAAAAAGATATTTAAAAAAAATTATGATTTTTTAGCTCACCAGCTTTTCTCATCACTTAGCGCATGTCGTCGTCTGTTATCTTTTAGGGCCAAATTTAACCAAACTTGGCCACAATCATCATTAGGGTATCTAGTTAAAAAAATATTTTGTCCGATGACCCCACCTGCCAACCAAGATGCCGATATGGTAAAAAATAGAACATAGGGGTAAAATGCAAGTTTTGTCTGTTATTTTGAAAACCGTTATAAATAGAAAAAATCTGACAAGAGCAAAAATATTCAGAATGTTGAGCTCTACCAACTGTCCATTTAAGTCAAAATTGTCAGACTTCTTATAAAATTGATTGCCCTTAAATGACAAATTTCACCTTTATCATTTTTGCCTATTATCTTGAAAACTATAATAGGTAGAGAGAAACTATAAACTGCAAAAGTGACCAACAAAACAAGTTCTACAAATAAATCCTATGATTGAAATCGTCAGTCGACTCCTTATTAGAGTAATTGACCATTGATGACGATTTTTACTAATTTTTTGCGTTTTTGTCTTATATCTTAAAAATTATAATAGATAGGTATAAAACTTAAATAAGCAAAAATGATCAGCAAGACAAGATCTATAATTGAGACAATATGGAAAAAATCGTTTGACGACTCCTTATTGGAGTTATTGCTCTTTAATGACGATTTTCACCATTTTTGTTTGTTTTGCGTTTTCCCTTATATGATAAGAATTATAAAAGATAAATAGACACTTTAAAC